GCATCATGCTAAAATATGCCTGCTACATCTTTATGCCAAATTTCCCAGGTTGGGTGTGCTTCAACGGGCTGCAGAAATGCCAGCTGCTGATTTTTGTGGCTCAAAGATCACAGGAAACAAAATTGATCAATTCTATGGTGACCATTGAATCATCGCTATCGTTCTGATTGTATTTGGCAAAATTCGTCAGAGTTTTGCTGAGAAGGAAATCTGGTATTCTCACGACACATCACACCTACTAGTAGCAGAATTGTTGAGGTCACTGCATCTCCTTGGCCCAAAAGGAATGCTCTCAATATTCTGCTTCGTAAACCCGCGGATCGCCGTTAAGTGATTTCAAGGTTTCCACGGCATCCCCAAGATATCAAGGCTAGATATGGGTGATTAACCCCTGAAAAAAGTGAGATTCTTAAAGTGGCCCCCATGATGTTTTGTTTCCTACTCCAAACCAGCCAGGGTCTAGCAACTTCTCCGATCATTGAGCTGCCCAACTGGTCACTTCAGGGGCCTGGTAAGCCTGGCTTTCGGAGACAACTGCGATCAATATCTCCAAGACTAGTTCCAAATATCTAAATACAAAGACATGTAGCATGTATGTATGATATCACTTTACTTTGCTATGTGCACACAATTTCGCATATTACGAGCATATATATATATATATGTGTGTTTATTTGTACACACATACACAACATATAATATCAACATCATATCAGATCAATATATAAACTTATATAAATATGTTATATCAACATACACCTATATAATCTCTATATATATATACTATATACTACACACATATATATATATATAACGACCATCCCACCTTGGCCGTTTCATGGTCATCGTTCCAAGCCCCATGCTTCTCGACACCATCGGCCTGGCCGGTTTTCCATCGGTGTTCCCAGTCATCCAAGTCATCCAAGTCTGGGGGATTACCCTCTGGTAATTTAACATAGCTATTGAAAATGACCATTTATAGTGGATTTTCCCATTAAAAATGGTGATTTTCCATAGCTATCTTAGTTTACCAGAGGGTATGGGGATTATGTCGATGTTTTTCTGATCTTTTTTTATTGACGTCTACGGCTTATATAAATGTAATATAAATGTATAGAACCATCAACTATATTGACATATATATATATATAGTCGATCCGACTTAGATGAAAAATGTATGAACTTCTCCAATCCTCTGTTCGTGCAAGTTCGTAAAAACAAAAAAGACACATCCTGTGCTGCAAATCATGTGGATGTCATGTGCTTGCAGAATCTCGAGCTGCTTGCACAAAGAAACTGAGACAACAATAGTTGAGCACATTCCGAGCAAAATCCACAATGCTTCTGATTACAGATCCTTCTCTCGGATTCCTTCAAGATGGGCCGATCTAACCGTCTGCAAGAAACCATGATCACTGGATTATCCAATTTCTACACCCACATCTGATGTCAATTGGTAACCTATACCTCATGAAAAATCCAATGGATTAAATCCATATGATGTAACATTTAATGGTCCATGAAAAATTCCATCATATGGTGAATGGAAAAAATGCACATGTATGTATATATTTATATATATAATTATATATATATATATATGTATAAATTGCTTCTATATCCCATCAAAATTTCATGTCCCCATGATGTTTGATTAGTGTTAGATCATGTCTTTTCATGTCCATTCATATCCCAGTACTGTTGGTTGTGTGTCCCATTAAATCTCTGTATATCCCCATTTAATGTTATATAATCATGCTTCACCTATTGAATCCCATGAAATCCCACTAAGATCCTATGAAACCCCATTAAAATATATTAAAATCCCGTTAGAATCCCCTTACATCCCCCTACATCCCCATATTTTCATCTACCATTCCCTTTTTGTCCCTTCACCCTGGCGCCTGAGCTACAATGAGGCTGATACAAATGAGGCCGCAGGAGCCTCCCAGCCTAAGGGAACATCGCATGGAAAAAATGGGGGGAAAATATGGAAACAGTGCAGGAAAATCTGGGGAAATATTGTGTTTTTTGATGTTTTTAGTTGACATCTTTGGAAACTGCAATGGAAAATGATGGAACATGTATACTGGAAAGAAAGTGGGAATTGAACCATGCCAAGAACTGTGCAGTAGTAGCCAAACAATTTTCCGATTTGTATCCCTGTCCATTCCTTTCTCGATCCCTGGCTATTCAGCCTGCTGCAGCTCAGAAACAACTGGCAACTTTCTCGCCATGCATCTGGCATGGAGAATTCCTTGTCATCGAAGCCGCATAGAACCTCCAAATTTTGGAACTCATCTTGACATGCAGTAGATTTTGCTGCGGGTTTGTCCGAGAATGGGGTATCCTGAAATCCACTGCTTAATCATCATTTTTCCATATGATTCCTATTAAATCGCCATTCTTAGGCTTTTTTTAACCCCCATTGACCAAGCCATTTTTATCATTTTTACTGTCAACAAACGAAGTTTATTTGCTCTGTGCCTCCTGGGTGATTCCTGCAGTCAAGCCCGCCAGGAAAGAGATCCCGGCGTTTTGCTTGCAAGCATAGTAGGCCTGGCCAACAGGATAGCAACTCGAGTTGCCCTCTGAGAGGGCCAAAGGGCCAAAGGGTGATTCTGAAAGATTGAAAGATATTGAAAGAATTTGAAAGATATTGAAAGATTGATACATCATCTATCATCATCTTCCATTCCTTTCTCCCAAACACTGCGTCCGCACTAGTATACGGGTTCTTACGCTGGCCTTTAGAGGTGACCAAATATCCATGGGACTCACATAAGAATTGACCTGTTGAAACACCGGAGATTCACGGTTGAGAATCCAAGATATCCATGGGCCCTCCGGCAATCCAACAATATCCAACACATTTCAGCCGCAGAAAAAAATGTAAGAAAGAGGCTCTGAAAATTCCGAGGTCAGATAAGTTGTCAGGTTTGCATAGGTTTGCGGCATAAACAAATGGTTTTGAGCCTATTTGAATCAATTGTTGAATCTATCAATTAAGCAGACTTGCACTGGATGCAAGACTAAAGCATGTTGAACCCTGTTGAACCACAAATGACTGAAAACTGGACCCAGGCCTAGAGCAAGAAATACGGACCCAAATGCTCTCCATTGCTCTCCTATATTTCTGCATTTAGCACCTCGATTTCCAAGCGGAATATTCCCCAACGACCATGGGCACCAACCATTCATCGCCTGCTCTGCGGCTTGCCTGTTGCGAAGTAGACATAGTCTGCCTGCGGCGATGAATGGCTGACCTGCTCTCTGTTGGACCGAGGAATGGTACCTCTCGTTGTCTTTCAATCTTCAGACTAGCAATGAGCATTTACTCAGTACGAGAATCTATAGCCACTTGAAATTAGTCGATGTTTCAATGTTGCCCCGACATGGAACACACCAACAATACACCTGACCGCCTGACCGGTGGTTCTACGACCACGCGGCGCCTAGAAGAATCAACCCACATGAACCCACCAAGAAGGCATAGGTCAAGATCCTGGCGCCGAAGGGGGGATGGTCCTATGGATGTCGATAAGTACTTCTAATATCTCATATCTTCTAGTATCATACAGATTCATATGGTAAGCTCCCAAGAAGATAGAACAGGTTCAATTTCTTGGCTATTTAGGACTTTTACTGTTCTATCTTTATGGGGGGTGATGGGGGGTGGCTATAACCTATGTGTACATAATATAATACATATATGTATGTATATATTTCTACTACATATATATATATAAATATATGTAACTACATTATATATATATACGTATATACACACTTCTATACATGCAGTATATCATAGTACAACAGTATATCACAGTATATCTACACTCAATCTATACCAAATGAGTGCCTCTTCTATCAGAACATATCAGGGCCGTGAGATGCCGAGGACCCTGGCAACCCAGGCAGCTGGACGTTTCAAATCGACAGATTCGACAGGCTCAATGGATTCAATGTATACATGAGCGACGGAAAGTTATTTTGAGGTTACTGCTAAAGGCGGAGCGGATCCGACGTCTTTTTCCATGTCCTGATGTCGTTTTGAACACTGACCGCCTTGTTTTCCAACGTCACACTTGGACATTTTTTTTAATAGGCCTGTTATCTTTTCTAAGTTTTTCAATTTGGACTACATAATCTTGTTTTTTCAGGTGGAGCCACCTCTTGTTGTAATTTCGGGGATAAAACGGAAGGTGTTTCCACCCGAAGGCTCGTTTTTCCATATATAGTAAAAGTCGTCGCTCTAATATGTAGCCAAACTCCTCAAGCCCCAAGATGCCTTGGGCCCCAGATGCATCAAACAGGTCAGGCCAACGGAAAGAACAGAAATACTTCACTCGCTTGTGCGGCCTGGTCCCTGGGCGCGGAAACTGGAAAGATCTGGAAAGGATCCCTGAATCTTGAGTCAGGCATCATCACTAGATTATTGATGATATTGATGATCAAATATCAACTATCATCCATATCAGATCATCAATACCCTCTGGTAAACAAATTTCAATGGCCATAGAAATAGTGGATTTACCCATTAAAAATGGTGATGTTCCATAGTTTTTTGTATGTTTACCAGAGGGTAATCATCACCTTCCAAGGGGTTCAGCAAAATTGCGATTTGCAGAGCCTCTGCAGCATTTCCGGGGTGCTAAGGCCAGGTCCGATGGACGTAGAACCGGCGCAGTGAATCAGCTAATCCCAAGGCACCTGCAACCTGAGAAAAACTTCCGATTTTTGTGTGATATTTGATGATATTTGATGATATTTTATCGAATTCTTGGGGAAAAAAAGGTCTGGAGTATAGGATCCACCAAGTTGTTGTTGATTGTTGCTGGTTCAAAGGTTCACACACACACACACACACACCATTGCGACCCCCGCGTGCGTTTTAGGCCCCTTGGATTTGGAAGGCCCAAGTTTGCAAGACCCATTTCCGCTGCTGTTCGCAGTCGGCTCCGTGTCAAACTGGTGGGCTCAACTTCTCAACACTCACTATAGATGGTGGTTTGCTGGTCTGAACATGTCTGAACATCGCGTCTTTGCGCGGAATTTGAGGGCACTACAACATACAACAACAAAATCAACATTGCAAAACACAGAAAACCAAATGAATCATAACCCATAGGATCCATATATGCTATATATGCTAACATTGGCGGTATATTGATGGGATCCATGTTACCATATATACCAGCACCATGGCTCCTATGGGTAATGAATCCAACTCCAGGATCCAAAAGTAGAGCGCCCCCTGCACCCAGGGACGCTTCTCTGAGGCTTCTCTGAGGCAAGTTGCAAGACCCACGGCATAGCTGATACGCAGCACCACCTTGATGCCATACCTCAGGGGCTCGAAAATGAGATATCCACCACTTAATATCAATTTCATAATATTGGATTTTATTGGATGATTCTGACATTAGAAATAGGGATTTTCATGGATTTTCTGTTCTTGTGCCTAATTTGGACAAATGAATAAAAATGGAAGATACCAAAACATCCCAAAACCACGGGTTTTTCCTCCACCACAGCAAGTCAAATAGCGATCTGAATGCTCCGACCTGCCATGGGATCCATGGGATTTGGCGCCCCAATTGACCCATCCAGAAACATCCACTGGGTGCAACCGGCCATCTGGAGGTTCCAGCCTTGAAAAACCGGAATGCCGAGCTGAAGATATGGGAAACCGGGTCATGAGGCAATTTACCAAGGGATACCAAGGGAAATTTCATGGACATGGAAACACTGATCCAAAATGACTCCAAGATGCAATCAGTGACCCTGCACCATCAATGCAAAAGAAATGGATGTGGATGTAGCCTGTGTCACATCATTGCCGGCATTGCCGCCTGCAGAGAGCACATCCTTACTACGCATGGGATTCCATGGGATTACCACAATGGATTATGATGATCCACAATATGTTGTTGGTATATCTAGCGTACAACCCCCTATAACCATCAACCAAAAGGGGTTTGTGGAAATCTGCTCCCTCGCATGTGGAATTTTTATGGATGGGTAGATAATGGAATGATAATGGTAGGAGCAGCCCGGGTCACCCAACGTTGCTCTGGTTAAAGCACCAGATTCGCCCGATCCGCAGACAGCCTGCAGCTTTTTCCAGGTGGATAGCAATCTCAAATCTGGAACAACCATGAACAAATCACAAACCTCACTTTTACATAGTACGTCCCAGTACCAAAAGATACTATTACTAAGGTAATCGAAGGTACCAATCACTTATCACTGTCACTCAAGATACAAGAACATTCCCCCTTGTTGATGATGCCGAATGATAAAGTCCCCTAAGTTACGGTCAAGGCCATTTCGATCTAGAAATCTGTGCGGCTGCTTCAAAACCCGCAACATGTGTACTCTTTGTTGCTGCTAAAGTAACATATAGTACATCTTTACCAACTGCACCTGAGAGTTTCTCGTACCTGAACGCCTGCACCATTCCGCTTGGTCAGACTTAAGTTCTTGGTTTCACGTGTCCACATATGATCCATCATTCGGGATTCAGGAGGTATGAGTACAACACTCTGGTAGTTCTACGCCGGAAAGATTCGAGAGTGCCGGACCCCCAAATTCTCTCACTGAGACTGATTTCCTTGAAATTTCGAATGACTCATTTTGCCCACCATAGAAGTAATGATCCACGATTAACCCAGGGACCCAAAATTAGTCTTTGGGATTTTCGGGGTCGAGATGGTCGAGGCTGACATGTGCCAAGCCTGCGAAGACTGCGATGATGAGGCAAATCGTACAAACCACTGGCATCCATAGCCATTGCCTTTCCAGGCCATCGATGAAAAAATCTCTTGCGTTTTGTCGCCACTAGCCAGTGGCTAGCCAGCAAGCCCGAGGATTGAATATCATGAAATATCATGAAATATCATGAAATATCGTGAATGTCAAAGCAACTGACACCCATTATACATGGTCCATCTGGTCTTTTCAGGATGTTGCAGGGATAGCCCCTGCAGCATAGTTTGCAGTGAATTGGTCGTAATACACGGCAATAAATTAAAAATATTTAGAAATGATATGACTAAACCATCGTCTGGTGAAATCCTCACATTTGTCAGCATTGAAGCCTCCACGTTTTGGAACGGTTACATCACGTATCATCACGTTACATCCCCACCCTTTGCTGAACCTCCGTTCTTGGTTCAATGCCCACTTTTTCATGACATCTCCAAACTCTATCAAATTATCCCATCTTTATTTGTGTTGCTGAACCCATTCCTGCTGCTTCAGTTCCCCTCCACATCTTCCAACCCCCAACTCATCGCAGGGTCGAACTGTGAATGTTGGAAGATCATCAAGAAGTTGAAACGGATCAATGCATTATCAATACTAATTATATAATATTATATAGTTATTTGATGTTATTTGGGATCAAATCTTATCAACTTAGTGAAACTACGTATGTTTTGTGAGTGCCACATGTCCCACGTTGAATCGTTGAAGATTTTTGTTGGCACCTCTCCGAGGCACTTGGAGTGTCGGGAGACCCCATGGCAACGCCTGAAGATCTCGTCAACAATGGGATGGACATGGATGGACCCTAAGCAGTGGATGGATGCCGAAGTCAAAAAAAGGGAGGATCCCGACGAATTGTGGGACCTATATCTTGTGGTAGGGCTTCTGCACCAATGGTCTTGGACTGTTTCGTGCCTTCTTCGACAGTTTGTTCATGAAGAAATCCTTCGATATACATGCAATTGTGTTTATACATACAATTAGTATCAATTAATTACAATCAATTAAAACTACAACAATTACAATTAGTATGTATGCATATTGCACATATGAGTGGCGGACAAAATTATTTGTTCCCCGCAATTGCCACGGGCGAAACTGGGTCGTCCCCTATCGGTTGTGAAGATTTTCGCTCTTTGATAACATCCAGTAGCAAGCGCTGCTCGTTGTACTAAAATAAGTAGAAACAGAAATAAAGTAAAAGTAGTGGTAGTAGTAGTAGTAGTAGAAGTAGTAGTAGTAGTAGCAGCAGCAGTAGTAGTAGTACCACTACTAGGAGTAGTATTAGTAGTACTAGTAGTACTAGTAGTACTAGTAGTAGTAGTAGTAGTAGTAGTAGTAGTAGTAGTAGTAGCCGTAGGGCAGACAGTAGTAGTAGTAGTAGTAGTAGCCGTAGGGCAGACAGTAGTAGTAGTAGCAGCAGCAGCAGTAGTAGTAGTAGTAGGAGTAGTAGTAGTAGTACTACTACTACTAGTAGTAGTAGTAGTAGTACTAATACTAGTACTAGTACTAGTACTAGTACTAGTAGCAGTACTAGTAGTGATACTACTAGTAGTAGTAGTAGTAGTAGCAAGGATAATAATAGTAGCACTAGTAGTAGTACTAGTACTAGTACTAGTACTAGTAGTAGTAGAAGTAGTAGTAGTAGTAGTGATACTAGTACTAGTAGTAGTACTAGTAGTAGTACTAGTAGTAGTAGTAGTAGTAATAATAATAGTAGTAGTAATAATAGTCGTAGCAGTAGCAGTAGCAGTAGCAGTAGTAGTAGCAGTAGTAGTAGTAGTAATGGTAGTAATAGTAGTAATAATAGTCGTCGTCGTAGTAGTAGTAGTAGTAATAGTAGTAGTAGTAGTAGTAGTAATAGTAGTAGTAGTAGTATAGTAGGAGTAGTACTAGTAGTAGTACTAGTAGTACTAGTAGTACTGGTAGTACTAGTAGTAGTAGCAGTAGTAACAGTAGTAACAGTAGCAGCAGCAGCAGTAGTAGTAAGTAGTAAGTAGTAAGTAGTAGTAGTAGTAGGAGAAGCGGTAGCAGTAAGAGTAGTACGTGGGCCATGGTCTCGGCAAGTGAAAATAATTGCAAAATTGGGTATCGGTTGGTATCGGTTGAGGTATCGGTAAGAATGGTGCATGAATTGCCGCAAACAATATGCTTGGTGCTCTCCAAGAGAAAGCTAGCTGACGTAGCTCTGTACAGCCCTGCTTGTAGCTGCTGCTGTAGAAATAAACGTGTTGGAATCTAGGGGTATCGGTGCTGGGTCGTCCCCTATCGGTTGTGAAGGTTTCGTGAAGGTGAGCAAAGTTCAAGGCAGCTCTCTACTACTTTCAAATGCCAATAATTTTGTCCGATACTCATATGGACTGTAGTACTTAGTAATTTTATGTTGAAAAGGCATCTGAAAAACTTTGAGTCGCTTTGATTGGGCCTGCTGGGAATGTGTCTTCATTGTTGAAAGGAACTCATTCATATTCATAATGTATCATAATGTTGCGCTTTGAAAATCTGACTAGCAAACAAACCAGCACCCCAACTGCATATCGCTGCTACTCTTGGAGCAACTGAGCAATGGTCAATTCTCTCATATCAAGTCGAGGATAATCAATTAGATATTCTGAGCTGCTGCCTTCTAAAGATTCTCGCTCCGGATGAACTTGCACGCATGGAAAGCTGAGTTATTTACAAGCGTAGCTTGCACAAGTTGAAGCATCAAATACAGAAGAGACTGAGCGGCTCTTCCCAAATGCGGGAGGAGTCGAAACCGTCGAAACCTATGATACTACCTTTAGACCAATGGGCACATCCACAAAATCCACACCCGCTATTGCCTCTGGCGTCACAGCACAGTGTGCCAGCCAACGCTTGGTTTTGAGACGAAGGTACACGTTTCACAGCTTGTGGACATGACGGCAACCGTCCCGCTGAATATGGGGTCTTGGGAGAAAATTCGGAACCACCAGCCCTTGGTGACACGACCAGAGTGCAACAGTGGTGATTCGGTGATATTGTCGTAAAAATGACGACATATTGTGCACCCCGCAAACGGCATTTGAGAACTCTAGAAAGAACATAGAGTGACCAAAAGTACGGGCTCGTTTTGAATCCATCAGCTTGACACGTTGGAGCCACCCCACTCAGAGTGCAGCCTGAAACCTGGGATCAGGCTGCCACAGTCGCACCGTCGCACAACACCAGCTTTTCTCCGTTTCTCCGCGATGCGCTGCGTTGCCACGAAAACGCGTGGCCCTGCTGTCTGGATGTTCCTGGCCTTTCATCGTGGCCATGGGATCTTATGAGTTTTGAGGATCTAAAATGCCATCGATGCAGGGCAGGTCATTGGCAAAGCTTCGAGCGATGCAAAGAACAGGTTCTTGTAACATTATGCATAAAGATGCATGAAGTATTGATATCAGTATCGGAATATGTCTTTCTACTCAGCCTATCCCAACGCGGAAGGAAACATACTTTTCTTCTCAAGGCTTTTTAAATCTTTTTAATCTTTTTAGATTTTCTTCCAGCGTCACTCAATCCCCAGAGTTGCATCTGGGCATCCTGGTGATTGGACTGGACCCGAGAAACAAGAGAACAGAAGTGTTGCATTCAGATGCAAATCGAACAGGGCGGAGTCATGTAAGATCTCGCAGATGCTATTACATTTCCTTCATGTTCCTAAATCATCTAAATCTGTCGCTCAGATGCTCAGAGACTGAAAATGTTGCGGCTCCAAATGAATACTTCAACAACTTTGAACTGGGGATTCCCAATTTGAAATTTACGAATTTGGATGAATTTGGGATGATTTTGGTGTCCCCCATTTTCGCAACCCAGTTTCAAGAAAAGCCAGGGAGTTCTGCGGCGTCAGGTGCGCCCAATGTGCATCTTGCAATAGGCCCAGGCAATTGTTTTGCCCAGCGCAGGTGAGACAGTGACTTCTCAAACGATCTTTTCTGGTTCAAAAATGGGAAAACCCCAGGCCCAAAAGGATCCAAAAGGCCCCAGAAGGGCATGAACTTTCCTTGCGAATTCACGGAAATCCCAGGAAATCCCGAGCATTTACATCATTTTACATCATAGATCAGGACAAAATCTGCTGATCCGGTCATGTGACTGGGGTCTCCCATCAAGCCGAATTGAAAATTTTTCTGGATCCCCAACTGCCACCAGGTGATAAAAAACTGCTGAAGCCTGCAATGCCAAAATGGATCGATCATGAGGTTGAGAACGGGCAGTAAGCATCTGACCCAATCATCTTAATATATCATATATTTATATCATTAATATATCTGAATAGAATATAATAAAATATGTCAAAAGGTCTTTCCAAGGTCTTTCCAATCATATTCAGGGGCCCCCCAATGTGCTTGCGCACAGTGGCACAGGGCCACTGGGATCTCGATTTTCCGTCATCTCAGATAGCCGGCATAGCCGTTCTCGAAGGACAACCGCTCCCTAGGTATGGCACCCAGCTGACATGTTGACCATGATTTCATGGGATGATGAGCCCTGCACCAGATCAGCACTTCTAAATTCAATGGTGATTTTACATAGTTTCTTGTATGTTTACCAGAGGGTACTCTGCATGCACAATGATGCAAACATTTCTTGAAAAAAATACGTGGCTCATTCTTTCTATATTTTCTATGTTCAATTTTGTTGTCAATGTTTGAAAGTCCTGTAGATTCAACATTGCCTCTGAGATTCCCCATCATGAAATCAGCACTAAGACCATGGCTTTTGAAGCATCGTTCCTTGGTGGCTCATGGTCATCCAGGAAGCTCATGCGATCGCTGAAATTCATCGCACTTTTAAAAAAAAAGTGACAAGTTTGAGCTCAACCAGCAGGACATTTTGGTCTCAGACTATCTCGTAGATGAGCGATTGTTTTTTAGATGATCATTACAGTAATTTAAATGATCATCTCAGACATTCTCAGACTATCTATTTAGATCATTACAGTAATTCTGGGCGATTTTTTTCAGATGACCTACCAAGTAGTCTAAGCCGGCCATGTGAAACCCAAAAAATCCTTGGATCGACAAGGGGCTCAGCTCATCCAGTGCTGCGCGCAAGCGGACAACCTCGAACTTCGCTTCGTACCTTCGCTGATCATCCAATGGTGTGGCCGGTTGGGGTTGGAATCCGGAATCCCTCTGGATGGGATTCCTCAATTCCAGAGCGCCTTTTTAGCAGTATAATTAAGCAGTGTTGTACCCTCTGGTAAACTAACATAGCTATGGATAATCACCATTTTTAATGGGTAAATCCACTATTTCTATGGTCATTTTCAATAGCTATGTTAAATTACCAGAGGGTAACAGTGGTTGACAGCACTGCCTGCACGAACCATGTCAGTTGCATGATGCAGTCGTCAAGAATCGGGGTGACTTTGGGCACTTGGATGTCATCAGTTCTTCCAAAGTCATACAAGCGATTTCCTGAACCTGGCCAGTCGTCTCCATTCGCAAAAGCCACAGCGATGACCAACTTGGGGCAATTGGGATGAGAAAAAAAAAAGGGGCAATGTTGAAACTGGAGAATTCCAGAATTTGCAAGTCCCAAGGCTATCATGTTGACCCATACACCATACACCTGCTTGCTGGTTGGTTCTTGTTAGAATTAATGGTTCAATCCCAGTTTGTCAATATGTGGCTCGCATGATGCACAGTTCTTCCTGCTTCCGGACAGAAATGCGCCTCTCTTGCATGGAGCTCCATCATAGAGCAGCGCGTCATGGTTTTCCGAAGGTCCTGGCCAGGAACA